CATTAATTATTTTCAAATAACCGAACAAGAAATTATAAAATTAGTGAACGTTAAAATTCACAAAGTAATGGTCCAGATGAAATATATATTAATTATTGGCAAAATTAGCCAAGTGTTATCTATTGTTTTTTAAATATTTTTATATTTTGTACATTTTGATTGCATGTTTTAAACAACGGGTTTATCCAGAAGACTGAGAAGATTCTATATAGTCGGATTTTCGTCCGATAATCATCTTATCATGTTTTATTACTCGTATTTAACCAAATATATCAATTCCTTGAAAATAATTATGTAATTTATCATCGTCAAGCAGCATTTTAATATTACTAAAATCATTACATGATATAAAAACTGCTTGATGAAAAACAAGTTATTATACTTGATTTAAGTTATAGTAAAATATTTGACAGTGTCGATCATGTTATGTTAATTTCTTTTTTAAGATCAATTAATTTATTTAATTATCTTAATCAGTTTAGATCTTGAATTGCAATAATTTTACGAATCACAACGTTGTTAATACTTCAAAAAACCATAAATCAAATTGGATCTTTATTAATGGTGGTGGGGTCTTCAAAGGTACACATTATCAACTTAAATGTTCTTGTTATATATAAATAGAGTGTATAATGAAATCACAAACTGCCTCTTTTTATATATACAGATGATTAGAGATATATAAACTAAATTTCAATTATCCCACATAAACCAAAACATTTATAAGTATACGATAGTAATATACGTAGGCGATTGAAAAAGAAAGACTACAACAACAATAAAAGTGAAATAAAAACAAAAAATATTTCTTAGTTGGTTGTTTGGAAGTTGAAAAAAAATAATTAAAAATTAAACAGCAAACGATAGGTTGAAAGGCGATTGAAAAAGAAAGACTACAACATAAGGCTAAATTAATAATTTTTTGAAGTAAAAAAAAGGTCTTTCAACAAGTTACAACGACTACTTATATTCAACATATCGAATAGTAAAAAAATCTTTCCATTTTTTAATAGACTAGGAAAAGGGGAGTTAAAAACAGAGAAGAAAATAAAAGACGACAAAACTAATAATTAGACAAACACAAAATGAAAAGAAAGAGATTTCAAAAAGTTACGACGACCAGCGGTAGTCAACATATCAAATTAAATAAAAAATTTCAATTTTTTGTAAATAATTATTAATATGATGTATTAAACAAATATTGATAAGTTCAATTTGAAAGTTTTTTTTTGGGGGGAGCAGCTTTTTTGTTACACTTTCTTGCTTTTTGCTTCTTTCGCTTTTTACTTGTACAATAACAAAGAAGCTCCACAGAAATATCGAAGATATAGATAAATGAAACCACCCTATATTAACAATAGCGTTAAAGACTTGATGAAGGGTATATTTTTCGAAAACATGACGAAAGAACTGAGTGTTGTTTTTTCTTTCAAATTGGCTTTATCCACATGTTTTAATATAATATTAGAGAGTGATATCAATCATGTCAAGATAGTAATTACTACAATTTTTTAATCAAACAACACTATTGCTAATCCACACAGCAAAAAATAAAAGTGAAATAAAAACAAAAAATATTTCTGTTGGTTGTTTGGAAGTTGAAAAAAAAATTAAAAATTAAACAGCAAACAATAGGTTATTTTAAAGGTTTTAAAAAATACAATAATTTGTAAAGTTCGTGCTTCGTTTAAATGGCTGCCAAGCAAAATTAGTTGGGTTGTTTTTCTTTTTTTAAATTAAACAGCAAATCTAAAAGGTAAATAGAAAATATATGTATAAAAAATATTTTTAAAAAATCTAAGACAAGACAATTAAAGAGAAAAACTTGGTTATTTTAAAGGTTTTTAAACCAATTTTTGATAATTTGCAAATTTCGTGCTTTTGTTTAAATGGTTGCAAGTGTAGCAAAGCAAAAACAGTTGGTTTATTTTTTGTAATTAAACAGCAAAACTGAAAGATAAATAGAAAAAAAATACATAAAAACAAAAATATTTTTACAAAAATTAAGGCAAGACAATTAAACTGCAATAGCCTGGTTATAATAAATGTTTTTCAAAACCCAATTTTAATCTTTTTTCAAATTTCGTGCTTTTGTTTAAATCGTTGTAAGTGTAGCAAAACACAAATAGTTAGTTTATTTTTGTAATTAAACGCCAAAACTGAAAGATAAATAGAAAACATACAAACAAAAAAATAAAAAACAAGAATATTTCTAAAAATTTAAAGCAAGACAATCAAACAGCAAAAGCCTTGTTATTTTAAATGTTTTTAAAACAATATTTAATCATTTTCAAATTTCGTGCAATTTTCAAATTTTAAAGTTTCTTTAAAAAAAATATTTATTTACTAATAAGAAATAAGCATGAGGTCATATCGTTTTAAAAATTGTTTAATAAAACCTGGTGTTTACCTGTTTAATTTTAACTTATTTTTTAACAAAAGTTTAAATGGTTTCAAGTGTAGAAAAACGAAAATAAGTTAAAATTAAAGAGCAAAACACCAGGTTTTATTAAACAATTTTTAAAACGATATGACCCCATGTTTATGTCTTATCGGTAAATAACTATTTTTTTAACTTTAAACAAGAATTATATAGATGTTAAATTTTTTACTTAAATGGTTGCAAGTTAATCAAAATCAAAAATTAAACAACAAAAATAATATTTTTTTAAATCAAGTTATTACAACAATGTTTAGTCACTGTTACATACTGTTACATCTGTAAATGTTCTATTTATAAACAAAATTTTAAAGTTTTAGAAACAGTAAAAACTTACATGATTCTCAGTAAAAAGATTTCAAATTGTTTGAAAAGTAAAGGTGCAACATGCATCGATTTGTCATCTTTAAATACTATTAATAAGCAATTTTATGATCGAAATATTATTGCTAGTTAATAGAAAAAAAGCAAAAACATTGTCTAAGGATCATTAGAAAAAGCTAAAAGTTTCAAACATAGCAAAAGCCATCGTCAATTCAAAAGCTAGAACGATAAGAAATCATTAAGTTAATTTATAGTACGTAAGATTTTAATCTTATAACAGCTATTATATATTTTTAACTTCAATAATTTTTCTGTATAAAGTTTTAAGAATCGAAACAGAAAGATTCAACAAGGTACACTGAGTTTTCTCTTTCTAATAGTTCCTCGTAAATAACTACTTTTTTAAATAGTTGTAAATGAAAAAAAAAAAACGAGTATTAAAACGATCAGTTCAAGCAGTAAAAAACTTACGTAATTCTTTGCAATATAGTTTCGAGTTGTTTAAAAAAAACTTAGTACAGCTTTTAAACAAGTAGGGAGGATCTGTCGGCATTCCTACTTTCTAATCAATAACTACTGCAAACTTATAATAAAATATTATTATTACAAAAATGCAAATATGAACATACAAAAAATAAGGAAATATTGGCAAAAAGTTTCAAGGAATTTTTTTTAATGGAAACGTAATGAAATAAAAATAATTCGACATATTAAAATGTTCGGTCATTTCATTACTTCCTAGTAAGTAAGAACAACTATTTTTAGTATTTTCAACTTGAAAGTTAAAAACTAAAATCTTTTTTGGAAAAATTATTGTTAATCAGCAGGACAGTAAACCAAGTTAGAGCAAGTTGCCAAGTTAATTCAGTAAATTATTATAAAAGTAATAACATGCTTATTATTGATAATGCACATAAAAATAGTTTATTTTTGTTATTCGTGAATATAAGGTACTACTAATATTTTTTTTAAACTAAAATAAGCGGCAGGAGTTTGTAAGTTACGATTAGCGATTTGCTACTAAATAATGATCACATTAGTATCAAAATAAATAAATAATGTAACTATTTTTAAAAATTACATAAATTAATAGTAAAAACCCAAATAAATTTCAATAAAAAGGGATTTATTATAATTATTACAAAACAAAAACAGAAGGCCGTACGAGCTATTTTTTAGAAAGTGGCTACAACAACTCTATACATAAAAAACTGGTGAATAAACATAAAACAAATTATAATATGCGTTAACTACACGAAGTAATATTGAGAAAAAAAATATGTTTTCAAGTTGATCAAAAATAGAAGATTAGACGGATCAAGTTGCAATGTTTTGTTGTAAACTGCTAGTATTATTTTATTCCATGAACACAATTTGATACAATAATGTTGCTATTTATAAAGAAAACGAGCCATGTAAAAACAAAATTTATTGTTCGACATTCACATAATTACTACATGTAACATTTTGTCGTAATCTTTATACGTTCTAGTAAACAACTACAACAACCATATAATTATATATTATTATAGACAACATTAAAATCAAATATTTTATATAGACAATCAACAAACAAAAACTCAATAAATGAAAAAAATAATAAAAGCGTAAATAATAAAAGTTAATTAAAAAAAGTCAATTCAGAGAGTTGAAAATTTTTTTAAAGTACATCTGCTACTTTCTAAAAAATTACTACAACGGCTTAAAAAAACATTGTAGGTGTTTAATGCAAGAAAAGGAAAACAGGAACAATGAAAATGAGTAAAATTCCAAATCACTATAAGCGAAAAATATTTTTTTAAAAGAAACGTTCATTTCAGCTTTAAACTACAAAGTTTTGTCGTCATTCTCTTATTTTGTTACAATGGCTTAAAAAACAGTATTTCTTTATTAAAATAAAAGGAAAATAAGAAAAATTAGCATGCGATAAAAGCCCAAATCATTGTCCGCAAAAATTAATTGAAAATCACCTTTAATTCTTTTCAATTTGTATAGTTTTGGCGTTCATTTTTATTACTTTCTATCGAATAACGAACAACTTAAAAACATTATTGATATAAAAAGAAAACAGAAAAACAACATAAAAAATATTAAATTTATCAATATATCACATAATTACTAAACATTTTATCATAATTATTATAATTTCTAATTAATAACTACAACAACAATATATTTAATTATTATTATATATATTCAACAACAAAAAAATCTTAACAGTAAAAAACTTAATCAATACTTTTTCTTATTTTAATATAATGGTTTTATGTTCCATAACAGGTCTTTCCAATAAGTTATAACAAATCGTACAACTGCTATTTTCTAGTAAATAACTACAACCTTATTAACAAATTGTAAGCTTCAAAATGCCCATAAATAAAAAACCAGTCTTTCCTGCAAAAACTTTATCGAAAAATAATGCCTGAAAAACACTTTTTTTTTCTTACAAATATTTTCTTAATTTCTAGTACAATTTAATTTACCCTGTGTGCTCACAATACAACGGAGCAAATTGGAAAATATATATTTTTTTACACAAAATATATGTACTCTCCTTTCGTTTTAAAACTATTTCATATTATTATCATTGGTTATGTTTTGACGTTTCAAATTAACATGCGTTATATAATGCTGGACACAGTTGAAAAACTGCACCTCGCTTGTACTAATTATTTAATACTTTTTTTTATTGGCATTCCTTAATTTATTGACAATTTTTAGCTAATATGGCAAATAACCTTAATAAAATAAATGAGAAATATAGCTTTTTATATATAAACAATGCATGGACATAAACTGGAATATTGCTTGAAGGAAAAAACTGCATAATGAAAATTCTCTTTAAAAGCAAGTTTGTAGTTATTTTTTTCGATTTGACTATTGCGTAATGGAGTGTAAATTTTCTCATAAGTGAATTCAATAACAGGCTCATTCATGCCAGGCTGCGAAATTTATGAAGAGCTTTAGTCAGACTTTAAAGATCAAGCTCGGTCATAAAAGCTGAGGGCGTTCAAAGAGGTTTAATTAATGAACGTAATCTCAAGATTCTTTATAAACCGACTATTAATACAAAAGCTCTTTCATGTAATAAATACAATTAGTATAACTAGGATGTTGGAAACTATGGAAATTATGAAGTATGCAATCTCGATTTGGAAAAATAAAAAACCTAAAGGGTAATTTATAAGAAATGAAATCTGTCAAAGCCGAATACAAAAAAGGATGCCGCTAGTATCATCTTATCCGAACCGTTCGTCTTATCACCTTCGAGATATAGGCTGTTCTCTTTCAATATATTATTTTCAACGCATCAAAATTAATCCTGGCTTGAATCCTTACCTGTTTGATCGAAGTAGATCGACGGCGTTAAATTCGAATTTGCGTAATGCCTAGGCTTAGCGCCGACAAATAGCTTAAGTACGAAGCATATAAGCGCAGTCAGGACAGCCAAACCAGTCGCTACGCCGAGAAGCGTCGACATGTCCGTCGCTATCACAACAACATCTGAAGACGAAATATTACAGGCATAAAAATCAACAGCGTTATGTTATTTTGAAAAGTGTTCGATACAGGATTGATAAGAAATTAATGTCGGTTTTTGTATTTAAAAAGGAAAAAACGCTCAATTTTGATTCATGAACGCAGGAAAAACATGTCATGGGAAACAAAAATACTTGATGAATGACCAGTTCATTTTCAAAATATGCTTTACACAACTAAATGTAAAGTCTTAATGTAAGGTATTAGTTGAGGTAAAACAGTCAGGACATAATTTGACATTAAAAAGTGTTAATTTGAAATTAGAAAAAAGGCCAAATTGAAGTTAAAAAATGCTAATTTGGAATGTAATTGAATTTAGAAAAGTTATTTTGACAAAAGTCTATCTGATATCTTTTTTATTGCTTTAAAAAAAGGGTTAATTTGAAATTAAAAAGGCCTACTTTGAAGTTAAAAAGAATTGATGTAATGTTAAAAATCCACTAGTTTTCGTGAATTAATTAAAGTTTTTAGTTGAGATAAAAAAGTCAGTGTCACGAGGGGGATTCGAACCCACGACCTTCGGCTAAATACGACGCCGCTCTACCACTTGAGCTATCGTGATCCACTCGGACACCAACTTCCCATCTCAACCCTCCTTTCGAATTTTCCCTCCTTTTTGCCATTTTTCAATCTCAACCAATACCTTACATAAAGGATTAATTAATTCAAAGAAGTTATTAGGTCAATCGGACCACGAAATCTAATGGAGTAAATGCAAAGTGTTGACTGACTGAATAAACAGAAACCTGAAAATGTACAGTGAATTCGCTGTATTGACAGTGAAATATTTTTGTTATATTACGAAATGTTTTGTAATTGAGAAAAACCAATCATTTGTATACAAGACGCGTTAAAACGGTTCCAGAATGATAATAATAAATATTACAAATTTACAATTAATTTTGCCGTTTTAACAACGAAATCTTTTATAACTGACGAGAGCCAATAAATCACGCCACTTTTACCACCTTCAACGTTTTGTGGCTGAAGATATTGCAGACTAAAAATGAAGAAGGTGACAAATATTTCTCACAGTTTTTGCTACATCACAACAAAAATTTCCATGGCAGAATAAATAATTCATTTTGTTTAGATTTGCATCTCATCCATTACAGTTCGTGGCCTGTTGACCAATTAACTTTTTTCAATTAATTAATCTTTATGAAAGGTATTGGTATAAAGATTAATTAATTGAGAAAAGTTAATTGGTCAATCGGACCACGAACTGTAATGGATTTAATAATTAAACTGAAGTATATCTTCACGAAAGATCTCCGTGACCATTTCATTTGTCGCCGAGAATCAAATAGATTACACGACATTTGAAAAATGGCAAAAAGGAGGGAAAATTCGAAAGGTTGGGTTGAGATGGGAGGTTGGTGCCCGAGTGGATTGAAGTCACTACAGCTCAAGTGGTAAAACAGCGGCGTAATTAGCCGAAGATCGTGGGTTCGAATCCCGCTCGTGACACTGACTTTTTTTATCTCAACCAAGCTAATGGATTTCAAGTAATATTTTCTTCTGGCCTTGTTTTGCGATTGATTGGTTTTCCTCAATTATAAAATAATTCGTTGATACGACAAAATTTGTTGCCAAATGTGACGATTATTGCTTTTTAACTATGTAGTCATCTAGATCAAAAAATTAAATACAGACATCGATAAAAGGGGTATAAATTAATTTTCCTACAGTTCAAAATATTTCGTTGCGGCAAAAACAATTTTTTAATATTTGCTACCTTCTGCTCTGTCCATGTGTCATCTTGACCTATATTCCCAAGTCGATCCCTTTCCAAATGAAGCCAGTGGTAAAAGTGGCCTGTACGAAAATTGAGTGATTCTCTTCTATTATTGAATATTTCGTTGGTTACACGGCAAAATTTGTTTGATTGCTTTCCGCCTGTTTCATATTAGTCACATTTTTTCTGACTCGAATAAATAATTACAAAATGCAGGAGGTAGACAAGAGAACCAGTACGAGAATTGTAATTCTTCAATTATAAAATATTTCGTTGGTTATGAGGAACTTTTTGTCGCTATATTTGCCGCTTACAGCTTTCTATGTATACAAAAATAACTATACAAAAAAGTAGAATGAATTTATTTTGTGCATATCATGCGGAAAAACGTTTCTAACATTGGCCACCTTTTGGATTCCACTTATGTAATCAATGCTTACACGTTGGTGGAAAAAAAATCTGTATGAGAATTGATTGGTTTTTATAATTTACAAAATATTTCATTGGTAACGAGGCAAAATTTGTTGCAAATTCAAAATATTTCATTGGCTATGAGGCAACTTTTGTTGTTATAGTTGCCAATTACTGCTTTCTTACCGTGCAGAAAGTGATATGAATTAATTCTTCTATCATCCAAAATATTTCGTCGTGATGAGGCAATACGTATATTTTCCGTTTTCTGATTTCCTCTTATATAATCCTTCTCAGCCTATTTTCCCTGTTCTTAAAACATATTTTGTCCGTTATTCGGCAAAATTTGTTGCAATATTTGCAGCCTGAAGCTTCGTAATCAAGATTAAATGCAAACCTTTATGAAAAGTATTGGTTGAGAGAAAAAGACAGCGACACGAGCCGAATTCCGCTTCTCGTTACCAACGAAATATTTTGTATATTATAAAAACCAATCAATTATCAACCAATCATACAGATTTTGTTTTCCACCAACGTGTAAGCATTGATTACATAAGTGGAATCCAAAAGGTGGCCAATCTTAGAAACGTTTTTCCGCATGATATGCACAAAATAAATTCATTCTACTTTTTTGTTTAGCTGTTTTTGTATACATAGAAAGCTGTAAGCGGCAAATATGGCGACCAAAATTTCCTCATAACCAACGAAATATTTTATAATTGAAGAATTACAATTCTCGTACTGGTTCTCTTGTCTACCTCCTGCATTTTGTAATTATTCATTCAAGTCAGAAAAAATGTGACTAATATGAAACAGGCGGAAAGCAATCAAACAAATTTTGCCGTGTAACCAACGAAATATTCAATAATAGAAGAGAATCACTCAATTTTCGTACAGGCCACTTTTACCACTGGCTTCATTTGGAAAGGGATCGACTTGGGAATATAGGTCAAGATGACACATGGACAGAGCAGAAGGTAGCAAATATTAAAAAATTGTTTTTGCCGCAACGAAATATTTTGAACTGTAGGAAAATTAATTTATACCCCTTTTATCGATGTCTGTATTTAATTTTTTGATCTAGATGACTACATAGTTAAAAAGAAATAATCGGCACATTTGGCAACAAATTTTGTCGTATCAACGAATTATTTTATAATTGAGGAAAACCAATCAATCGCAAAACAAGGCCAGAAGAAAATATTACTTGAAATCCATTAGCTTTCGTGGTCCAATTGACCAAATAACATCTTTCAATTAATTGATCTGTATGTAAGGTATTGGTTGAGATAAAAAAGTCAGTGTCACGAGCGGGATTCGAACCCACGACCTTCGGGGTGGATCGAAGTCGCGATAGCTGAAATGATAGCAGCGGCGTATTTAGCCGAAGGTAGTAGGTTCGAATCCCGCTCGTGACAGTCACTTTTTTATCTCAACCAATTCCTTACATAAAGATTAATGAATTGAATTACTTGAAATGAAATACGACGGACAAAGCAAATGAGGCGAGGCAGACAGGATCATAGGAAATACCAACACTTAATGTATTTTTCTAAAAAAGAAATGAAAATGACAACATAATTAAAAAGCCGACATTACTTTCTGATCATCTTGATAGAAAATGCATATTGCAAAGAAGATCCTGACTGTAACATTAAGCACAAAATATCTATTAAAAATAGCGTAAATCTTTAACATAAAAATAATCGTTGAAAACAGAAATTTCCAATTTAATCAACTAATTGTCTTTAAATATGATTTAGCATTGATTGATTTGTTTGTTTGAAGAAGTTTTCAAGGCTCACCTTCTGAGCAGAAAACCCTCTTGGGCTTGGGTATAGTCACGGTGTGGAAGCCTGATTTACACTGACAGATGGCATTGTGCCTAATTTGCACACAGTCTGCGTTTTGATCGGTGAAAAGACACGTTTCCAGGTATAAACATTGATCTCCCAATTTTACAGCTGTTAACATAAAACACCCTTGTAACAACATGACACAATATATTCTAGTCATTTTTTTCTTTCTTTTTTTTAATACGTACGTTTGGCACAGCCGGTGTACAGGTCGAGGCGAACTGGATACCCTGGTTTGCAATCGCACCTTTTCGAATCTGCCTTACAAACGACGTTTATCAGGTCTGGATTGCAACTGTCTGTACAAAGTGCTCCAAGATGTGTACCGAGAGCTAAAATAAAAAAATTGTTAACTGAAAATAGTTTTAGTAAAAATATTCTTCTATTGATAAACTGGTTCGAGATTAGAATACAAAAAGTTATGTATTTCATGTTATACAAAAAAACATAACGTCAAACTATCACTTGGGTTAAACCGTCACATCACTAACCTTGTTTACATATTTTTGCCATTTAAAATTCCACGGGCTGTGCCGGGATTCGAACCCAGAACCGCTAGCGTGGCAAATATTCAACCACTAGGCACCGCGGTCCGCCCAAAGAATATTGTGATGATAAGAGATGTAAATATCAATTAATAAGATTTTTAGAGAGTTTCATTAGTTAATCGTTAGTCATGAGCCATTTTATAGGGTTTTTTAGAGGAAGGAACTATGGATGAGCCGGGAGTGACCAGTTCCAAGCCGGATTACAACTGTTTATTATTTCAGGAAGGTCTTGAGAAGGATATTCTGTATTTATTTTTTAGCTATTTTTATTTTTTTTTAACTATAAGGAGTTTATTTCCTGTCCAGGCACCATATTCCCCTATGCTTGTGAGCTGCCTTGAAGTAACAAGGGAGGAGCATAACTTTAGGCGGCCTCTTTTGCCATTTTGTCTGCCTTGGCCAGGAATCCATTTGTAAAATATTTTGACATAGTTTCTATATAAACTAAATTTAATAAGAATTTAAGATGTTATTTACTGTGGTGAGAACTGGAAGAGATTAGAAACGTATTATTAAGGTGGCACGGATGACAGGAATCGGCCAGGAGTAAAACTTTTGACTTTTATTCTTGAAAATATTTTTCAGAAGTTGGTGTCCCTAATTTTCTCCAGCTCAGTGCTAAATTGGTTTGTGTCTTACCTGTCGGGACGGAAACAGATGACTATCGGAAAACAAAATTAGATCTCGTGGTTGCAAGTAAATTGGAGTGTCCCTCAGGGATCAGCGCTGAGCACCCTTCTTTACTTTCTATACCTTTATGATTTACCACATAAAATAATTCCTTGCATCTTAACTTTGCTGCTGCTTTCAAATTGACGTGCAATGCTCAAATTTTGACAATGAAAAATCCATTAGATTAATGAGGATGTTGAGAAGATAGGGGCTGGTTGTAATAAACTAAACCTTAATGACAATAAAGGCTCAAATTCTACCCAATCTGTAAATACAAAGCATCCTTTTTCCAAAATTCTTTCCTAATCACTGCATGAAAAAATGATTTTAAAAAATTGCTCATATGTGTCAAAATTGGAAAATAACTGTTGACAAAAATCTAGTGTTTGTGATAGCTTTAAAAAGAATCAGTACTCTTACTTTTCTGCTGATTCTCTGAGTATATTTTGTTTTATTCTTTTCCTTAAAAATGAAGACTTAATTTTTTTAAATTTCTATTAAATAAGAGTTGCTATTATTTATTTAATTTTATATATTTTTACATAAACAAAGGCAAAATTAGTGACCACCCTTACTTTTCTGTTGATTCTCTGAGTATATTTTGTTTTATTCTTTTACTTAAGAATGAAGACTTAATTTTTTTTTAATTTCTATTAAATAAGAGTTGCTATTATTTATTAAATTTTATATATTTTTACATAAACGAAGGCAAAATTAGTGACCACCCTTACTTTTCTGTTGATTCTCTGAGTATATTTTGTTTTATTCTTTTCCTTAAGAATGAAGAGTTAATTTTTTTTTAATTTCTATTAAATAAGAGTTGCTATTATTTATTTAATTTTATATATTTTTACATAAACAAAGGCAAAATTAGTGACCACCCTTACTTTTCTGTTGATTCTCTGAGTATATTTTGTTTTATTCTTTTCCTTAAGAATGAAGACTTAATTTTTTTTTAATTTCTATTAAATAAGAGTTGCTATTATTTGTTTAATTTTATATATTTTTACATAAACAAAGGCAAAATCAGTGGCCGCCCTTAATATATTTAATTATCTCTTAAACAACTCCTCCATTATCTTACAACAAATTTGGACAGTTTTAAAGGATTAGAGATAAACAAAATACAGATTATGTTTACAATCGGATTTTGTAAATAAATCTTTGAATAGTCACTCCCTTCTTTGCTTGGTTTTCTGTAAAGCTCCCCCCCCCCCAACGTTCCGGTGGTTTGATTTTTTTAACTTGTACGACTTTTTAAGCTTCAAATTTGTTTGAGTGATGGTTTTAAGAGATTCAGATTTAGCTAGAATCGACCCTGAATCAGACTAATCAGTGAATGTGTAGATGTTTATTTGTGTAAACTTTGATTGAGGAATATCGAATACCATCGAATACTTCATGGAGTGGTGCATCGATAAAAAAGAGTGTCTTTATAAGCGAAAAAGTGTGTTGAACTCCAGCCTCGATGGCGCAATGTCAATCGACCTTCAAGTAGTCTAGTATGCATATGTGTTCAGTTCTAAGTAACAAAGAATGTATTTAAGAATGAATGATAGAATGATTTAGGTTACTAAATGTCTAAAATGACATTGTTGTTGGCAGCCCCTTGAGCCGTCGATGGTGACACGGATAAGACCAAAGATAAGTCTAACCCCGGATTACTAAGAAACCATAGTGGGTAATTCATATAGGTTGAATTATGCACGCTGATTCCGAGCTTATATAAATCAATTTACACAATGGTTTCCAAGGAACCACTTTGTGTACTTTCATGTTTGAACTTGTCCCTCGTTCATTTATATTTCAAAGTGAACAAGAGGGAAAGCGATACGGTCTATATTTTACGATCGCGAACTTCTGTTGGAGTAATCGAAACTTTGGTCATTAGCCTGCCACATCAATTATGTCGAGTTGGGCGTCGAGCGGAAAGGAGCGAGGTTACATTTTACATGTTATATATGTTTTTTTTACCTCTTTCAGCAGCTTGTTGGACAATTTCTGCAATTTTAAACTGGAGGCCACGCTATCTGGGCAGATAAGAGAATCACGAGGAAACGTGACGACATGGACTGAAACATCTTCTAATACCTCACTTTTACGCTCACATACGAATTGATTTGTTTTACAGATGACAAAAAAATTAATATCCCAAAAAATTAAGAAGAAGAAGAAAAGGCACAAGAAAAGAGAAAAATTTCGTCATAATTTTCCAAAATTGATAGACTTTTTATTGATCGATAAAATTGATATTTTCTACTGTGCTAATTTTCTTTAATTCTAATGCATATAATTAGTATATTTTAATAAAAATATAGTAGTTTATAAATAAAACAACAGTGTCTATTTCGTCGTCATCCGATTTTTTAACGTTCAAATAACCTTGAATGACTAAGACTAGCTGCTGAATAACCGAGGAAAAATTTATTGATAAATTATAGAAAAACACGTCATATATTTATTTGTACAAATATAAAGGGTGTCCCGCGAACAGACGTCAATACTTCAGAAGGTTATCCTAAATGTCAAATTGGTTTAAAAAATCTCGATTGTCCAAAGTCTGATTCACAATTGTATTCGAGATATTTAACGTTTCAAGTTACTTCGACCTTTCACAACTTTATACTGTTAATTTACCTGTATTTAATAAAACATTAGTCCTACCCTAAATTTGATTACACCAGTGAAAAGTCGATTAAAAACTCTATGAGATTAATTTATTATTTTTTTGATTATAACCTTAAGCAAGCAAAACACAAAAATCACTTAAACTATTACGTGTTTACAAATTTCTGGTCTAAATTTTAAATAAGATTTTTTCGATTCTGTAAATATGAAAAGTTGCCCCGACACTGCTGTCAAAACTTGTACTTTATTTCTAAATTTCATTAATGTAAAAATAACTTTCAATCTCTAAAATTTTGATATTTTTGTTGCAATCGGTTAAAAAATTTATTAAATTTTTTATTAAAAATAATATAAATTTTAATTAATTAATAATTAACGTTTTTGCTGTTCATTTTTGAAAACCATTATTTGTATTGCACGTTATTGAACATATATTGCAGCATGGAACTTTATTTTTAACAAAACGTTTTCGACCTCATGACGAGTCCTCTTCAGTGTTACACATTGTTGGGAAATCCACTGGATAGGCAATGGTAAATTAAAACTGAAGAGGACTCATGTCATGAGGTCAAAAATATTTTGTAAAAAAATAAAATTCCACATATGTTCAATAATCTACAGTACAAATAATAAAGAATTTGTGAACGTAATACAAAGTATATAAAAAGATTCTTTGTTACAAAATTGAAGATAAATAGAAAATCTTCAAAAAATTCAATTAAATGATCAAACTTACCCCCTTTTTTGGTTTGCAATCTTAAATAGGGGGGTTAAAGGTTTAATTCGATTTATTTTAACTGTTTCTTTTTCTTTATTTATTTTTTTCTTATTTTCTTTAAGTATCGTAATCAAAAATTCAAACTTTTAGTTAGAAAATTCTACTTAAACTTTAACAAAATCTTTAGAAACTCAAAAAGGATTTTATTCTAAGTAATTTTATTTTATTTTATGTCTTTTTTTACTTTAGATCATTTAAAAATAACTGAATATCATAGTTTTTTTAATGCTTTATCGATTGGGACTAGTAGAATTAATATTTTTTGGGATACGAGGGACATTATGGAATAAAGTTGTGAAAGATTGAAGTAACCTAAAAAGTGAAATATCTCGAATAAAATTGAGAAAATTAACTAAACAAAACAAACCCAATGGTACAAAATTGAACATAAGAAAATACAAATGTCCTAAATTTTCACCTTCTTGAATAATGCAAGTCGGACATTGGTTATTTCACTGGAGTTTTTTTTATTTTGTTCGCTTAAGTTTACAATAAAAGATATATAAAAATGTATTTTTATGATTCCAATGCTCTTTTATAGATATAATCAAATTTACCATCGGTTTAATATTTTATCAGAAACGAGGAACGGAATAAAGTTATTAAAGGTAGAAATTACCTGAAAAGTGAAATATCTCGAATAAATTGAGAAGCAGTCCTTGGGCAATCACACTTTTTACCTCATTAAAAGATAATTCTTACTCAC